TCCTCCTGTCTCAGCCTCCCCAGCCGCTGGGATTACAGGTGTGTGCCACTTGACCACTGAGCCCAGCCCTATTTTATATTTCATTTAGAGACAGGGTCTCACTGAGCCGCTTAGCACTTCGCTTTTGCTGAGGCTGGCTTTGAATTTGCCATCTTCCTGTCTCAGCCTCCTGAACTGCTGGGATTACAGGCATGCACCCCCATGCCCAGCTTTTATAGGGTTTTTAATGAGGAGTGAAGAATTTGGGTATAGCAAGGGTTTTCAGGGTCCTCAGTGCTCAACTGGTTCAGGGTTCCAGAGAATTTTTGCATCTTATCGCCAGAGGGAATCCCTCCATCATCCTCCATCACCAGTCCCTCCACATGGCAAAATAGAGGAATTAGCACACCCAGCAGTGTCCTTCACCCCATGACTGTAGTATATAACTATCCTGACTCCCTCTGCCTTTGGGTGGAATAATTCTGTGGTTTATGAATATATTGGGGGTTCTCCAGAAAAACAGAACTAACAGATTATATCCATATGTCTGTATCTGTTTGGGCTTTATAACAAAAATACCATAAATTATCAGGTGTGGTGCTGAGTGTCTACACTCCCAGTTACTGGGCCCCTGGCAGTGTGGCTTATAAACAACAAAAACTTATTTCTCATAGTCCTGGAGGCTGCAAAGTCCAAGATCATGGACTAGAGAAGACCCATTTTCTGATTCCTACACATCATCTTCTCACTGTCCTCACATGCAGAAGGGGTGAGGGGTCTTCTGGGGTCCCTTTTATAAGGACATAATCCCTATTCCTGAGGGCTCTACCTTTACAACCTAATCACCTTCCAAAGACCTCATTTCCTAACACTATTCCCTTGGGGGTTAGAATTTCAATGTCTGAATGGAGGGTACACAGACATTGTGACCATAGCAATATCTGTAATTGCTACAGCATATACCTACAATGATATTTATTATGAGGAATTGGCTCACGTGGTTATGGCAGCTATGTCCTACAAATTGCCTCCTGAAATCTGAACAACAAGGGAAAGTGGTAGCATAAATTTCAGTTCTGAGAACCAAGAATGCTAACGGTGTG